GTCCAAAAAGGTATGTTAAAACAATTGAAGCATAAGGCAAAAGTGTGCGAGTATTCATACCTTATCAATTCTGGCACAGGCACCTTGGAGCCACTATCAGGGCAGAATTTACAATAAGTAATCAAATATTATTTTCTGCCAAAACCTCAGGTTTGGTTAAGGTTTTATCCAAGATTTTTGCTTGGTTCTTGACCACATGACAGAGTAAGCTCTGGGCATCAGCACAGTTAGTGTTGTTTAGGGCACCCAACGGCTGGAGGCTGCAAAACAGCCCTAGTAAGGTTGATCTCAACCACCGCTTTGTGGTGTTGAGATTATTGTTGATCAGGGAAAAAGCCGCTGCAAGGAGTCACCAGCAGACCCTACGCCCACACCAGCCACAAACCCTGAAAATGTGCTCTGAAGGCACCTAACCAGCCTGGCATTACAAGAAAGAGACAGAGAGAGCAGGTGGTGGCAACTCCAGCTAGTGCTCATCAGGCCTCTGGGCTTATCCCTTTTCTCTCCATTGGACACAATTTACCATTAAACTCATGCTTCCTAAATTTCGCTGCCTACACTGCTGAAAAGCTTTGAACTAGCTGCAGTAGATAGACGTTTCCACTGTGCTTCCACTGAAGCACAATGAAGCCACTAAGAAAATGTGAATGCAGAAAAAACTGGGGGATAGGAAGCAAAGTGACAAAAAAAAGAGACACAAATCTGGAAATATGACATGCAGTCTCATAAGCTTAAGGTAAATGGTAGTATAGAAGTTGTTCACAGAAATGCTTTCATCTATGGTAAACTCCTTTGAGGACTGGCTGACAGAAGACCATGAAGTACGACACAGGTCCTTCAAGCAGCGGATACTCAGCTCATTTTACACGCATCGCTGTTACAAATATGGAAAGCAGCATGAATTTCGCTCCCCAGTGGTCAGTAATTTATGCAAGGATTCCCATCTCGCATCAGTCAGAATATAAACATATAGTATTCTCTAGTCAAAATGAAAAACACTAACTTAAACACTCCTTCATTTATATAATTATTTTTCATTATTAAAATAAAATTAAATAAATTTCTATAGAGAAGCTTCCTGAAATCCTTAACTGAACAGCCCATCAGCAAGTAGTATAAATAAATTGTAACTTTAAAAAAAGCGATATACGCATAAGCAAAAGGACTGCTGAGGAATCATTCTGGCGACTTCACTTAGAAGTGAAGCACATTACAGAACAATCTTCTAAAAGCATTTATAAAAGCAAGAGCTGCCTTTACCATTTACCTTGATAAATACTTCTAAAGATATACTCAAGAATTAGAATTCCAGAAGCACTCATGAACTCGGTGCAGTACCACACATGTGCCAGCTGCCATGGACTTTCCAGATAAATTTGTCTGTGGAATTTCTACACAAATTGACTGTTACATAATTAACTTGCTGTTATGATATTCTAAATGCAGATGTCACACATGAAAATTAATACAGTTACATATTTTGATGGCCTCCCTCAAGGAATAACCTTTTACTGAAAATAAGTATATACTAATTTTTTTTTTCCTTCGGGTAGTATGTTAGCACTCAGAAATTCATTTATAAGCAAATCTTTCTCCACAAATCTCTGTTCAGTCAACAAAAACGAACAAGGCAGAAGAACGTAATAACAAGCAGGATGGGAAATCATACGAAAACTATTAAAAGCCAGTCATACAGGTCAACTGTCTAACCTCTTCTGGAACGATAGGTGCTATGGAAAAAATCTTCCTCAGCAAAATATCTTAAAAAATTTCATGGGGGGGCAGGGGGGAGAAGGAGGGAGTAAAAATAAAAGGTTTAAAGAAGAACCATGAGCATGGTCAAACTCTTAGAGGAAGATGGAGTCAAAAGGTTCACCTATTTCACTGGACAAAAAATAAGAATTAAAACAGAGAGAAGAAAGAGAAAGAATAAGAAAAAACAGTAATAGTAATATGTTAATCAGGTTTGTTCTCCCTATTTCACAGCACAAAAACAAAGGGACATAAAGTAAGAGATAGGAAATTAAAAATCAGTTAAAGAAATTGTCACATGTTGCACAATCATACTGTAGAATTCTTTGCCACAAGAATTCGTGAGGACATAAAGCATTTTCAGAGATATGAAACTGTAAAACATTTTCAAAAATATACCACAGGATAATTCTTTAAAAACTGAGGTCAAAAAATTGGGCACAGATTACACAAATTATTTCACCCTTACGCTCCTGCACCCAATTTTGCCATGATATTCCTAGCTCATAAGTGTTTAGAGAAGACTTTTCAGAAAGCACGAAATTGGACTAGTCCCTACATTATATACTTTGAAGACAATTCTTGTATTTTCAGAGTGTTTTTTTCCCCCCACTTTTTTTTTTCTTCACTAAAACAACAGGTTGCTGCTTAAATCATTTAAGATTGCAACTCATGTAAAGCTGTGTTTATAAATTTGCAACTAATTGGGATGTACATTTCATAATCAATATTCACAAACATTTCCGTCTGCCACAGTGAAAATAAAATTATAATTCCTCAGTCATATAAATGTTATCTTCATACGCAGTAAGTAAACATTTAGATTTCAGTATGAGGGCTAGAGGCATCAACTCTGTAACCACATGGGCAGTCCCTTATGTACACTCAACTTACTTTTCCAAAGCATTCAGAAACAAACCCACGCTGCAGTTCTGTAAACACACGTATTTTATATACTATAGCAAGACATCAAATCAGCAGAGATAACATTACAAGGTGAAAGATGTGGAATACCTGACCCTCTGTGCTCTCCTTAAGCCAAGCCTTTAATTTAAAATATTCTCTGCTACATAAGAAAAAAAAAAGTCCAAATGACAAGAAAACCCAGTAAGGTCCCACAACTAAGAAGAGATCATTTGCATAAATATTTATACAGACTGAAAATACCACATAAATAACTGCTTTTAATTTTCTTTTTAGCTTTTGCAAAGCTTAAAGAAAAAGAACATTACCCAAATACTTGAGTTCATGTACTGCTATGGAAAAAGTATGTCTAGTTGAAAGACCCATAGGACTGCTGGACACTTTTGAGATGTTTAATTTAAAAACAAATATTTTGACAACAAACTGCATGCTTTTCCACTTGATCAGGTCTTAGGTAGACAGCAACTATGGCACCTACACTTAAGATGAAACAGCAAGCCTGAGGAAGGCAAGGAATTGTTAAAATACAAGTGCATCTACTACATTTTATAGCTTTTATGTTAAAAATTTCACAAAATTGAGAAAGTGAAAGCAAGATGAAGTGCGTAATGAGAGAGAAGGACTACAGAAAGGATCCTGTAATTTGTGGGACTCCCTAGGTATGGATTCATTTTACAAATAACAGAAGAAAACCCACTGCTTGAAACAACCAATTCACGTCATACCAGCATTAGATGGGTACAGACGCCAACTCAAGGACCAAATGGCCGAGCTCCCAACATGATTAGGCCCAACTTGCTTCCTTTTCAGATCATTGCCAGCAAGTACCATGCCAGACCAATAACGTGTATATATATACACCGGGTAAGGCCAAAAGGGTTCACAAATCACATAAACCTTGCCCAACTGTATTTACAATCGATATACTGAGGGGAACTAAAAAATAATTTTAAAATGACCTCCATCACAAGCCCTGGGCCGGCCGTTGGTGGGTCATCCCCCACCAGAGAGGTAAAGAAGGAGAGCATTGACCTCTCAGCACTTTGACCCTCGGGTTCTCTGCACGGCCCCGCTAAGCGCACGAAGCGCTTTAACCAGAGGCGCAGTAACGAAAGCGAGGAGACGGCGAGGGCACAGCCCAGCCGGCGACCCCTGCTCCGGCCCGGCCC